CTCCTCCTCCGTCGTCGGCTCTTCTCCACGGTCCGTCCCTCCTCCCGTCTCCGCTCTCTCACCACTTCTGCGATCTTGGACAATGACCCCTGTTGGCGCACTGCCTGTAGCCCCATTGTTCGTTGGTCTAAGGAAGTGTGGCTTGCTCAGACGGCCGCTTTCAGATGGTCTCTGGATCTTCCTTCTTTGCGCAGGGCTTGGAACAGTGTCTTTCAGCATGATTCGTGTTCGTGGCGCTCTGTTGCTGGGCCCATCAGCGCGCTCAGGATGTCTCTCTCCCGCCTTGGCTGGATTATGTTAGATGTTATGACGATTCGCGACGATCGGGGCCACAGTCTGCCGTTGGGTATCCTCTCTCCTGCTCTCGTCAAGCTCCTTTGTCGGGAGGCTTACTTGCGTATGCTGGAGCGTGACTCGGCTGCTAAACGCGGCGTCAAGAATCGCATTTGTTATGACATAATAAAAGAAGCCTTTGCCAGCAAAACATTCTCGGCCTTGGACAAAGCCAGGATCAGAGCTTTCGCCACGGAGGCCTTCTTCACTCGAGAGCGTGCGCGCCAACTTGGCTATCAGATTACTGTGGAGTGTCCTCTCTGCGGGCGTCCTGACACCGTCTTTCATCGTCTATGGACTTGCCCCCACAGTTCTGTTGCCACCATTCGTGCATCGACTGTTGGTGAGGAGGTTCTCGTGTGGGCCCTTCAGGCCGAAGAGCAGGGAGATGACCTCTTCCCGTATGTCTCGGGAGCTTTCGCTCACCCGGCGGATGCCTACCCCAAGCCTTGTAAGGAAGATGAAGGTCCAATCATTAAGTGGCACGTGAAGGATCTTGTCTCCCCCTCAGGTGGTGTTCCGGGCAGGGTTTTTTGGGGCAGCCTGTTTATAGACGGCTCCTGCTACCGCCATCCCATCCGTGAATTGTCTCGAGCCGCGTCCTGTGTGGCTATGGTTGATCACTCTGGTTCGTGTTTGGCTGAATTCAGAGCTCCTGTCTGGGCAGTTTATTCCCAGACTCCCCAGTCTGCCGAGTTCTCTGCTTACACGTGGGCCCATTTGCTTGCCTCCGAAGGTGAGGCCAAGGCCTGGTCTGACTGTAGCAACGTAGTCAAGATGGCAGGCCTACCAAGAGATGATCAGTTCTCGGGTAAAAGGGTCTATGCTGGTGCTCTGCTGCAGTGCTACTCCTCTGCGTCCTCCGTCCTTGTCTGCGAGAAAGTCGCGGCTCATAAGGACGTAGACGAGCCTGGCATCGATAGTGGGGAACGGTGGAGGCGGCTTGGGAATCAGCATGCCGATGCGGGCGCAAAGCACGCGGTCCGTCTGCACCCCAGGGACGATGATGCCCTGGAGGTGATCGATCGCTCCGTTCGCATTGCTCGTTCCGTGATTCGTTTAGCGTCGAGCCTCCTTCACCATTGGGAGCCCCTCGACCTCTCAGAAGTTGAGCTTTTAAAGTCTCCCCCTGCCTCTCCTGGCCGTTGCCATCAATGGAGGCGCTGGGCTGGAGCCTGGCGCTGTGAAGTGTGTCTTCGCGGAACGAGAGCTGCCGCCTCTCTGCCGGCTCCCGGGATTTGCCCCGGTTCGAGCAAGCTAGATTCGGTTCGTTTGGATTCCTTGGGCCACAAAACCATTGCGTTTGATTGCTCAGACTCCAGTGTCTTGTTCATTTGCATAAAGTGCTACTGCCACTCGTCTGGAATGAGTGTTCGTGGCCTGGGGGATGTGTGTGCAGCTCCGACGAAAGCTACTCGCACTGGATGGAATACTTTGTGCAGCAAGGGCCTTCATCCCCAGTGGAATCGCCGCGGAGTTAAAGTACATACAGGCAACGTGTTGCAGGTGTTTAATTGCTAGGTTTTTTTTGTTTAAAGCAGGCTGCTGTCCCCCACCGCCACTGGTCTGCTCACTATTCTGGTGGAGAGGAGCTGTTGAGCTCAAAAAAAAACTCCTCCTCCTCCTCCTCCTCCTCCTCCTTTTCCTCCTCCTCCATCCTCTCTGTGGCCCCGGCAGGCAGCAGACGGGGTCCCTGAAATCCGACATGTTTTTTGGGCGGTTTTGTCCCGAAGTCTCCGGCTGGAAGAGCCGATCCTAGTGTACCTTTCGTGCAGCTCGTTCGTTCACGCATCAAAGGTATCGTCCGTTTCTCCTCGATGCGCCTCCTCGATCCTCCTCCTCCTCCTCCTCCTCCTCGATCCTCCTCGATCTTCCTCCTCCTACTCCTCGATCCTCCTCCTCGATCCTGCTCCTCGTCGGAGAGGGAGGGGTGGCCTCACTTCTTTTTCTAAGTGCTTCCTCCCTGCCCCGCCCCCGCAGGCGTGTCGGTAGGGCGGGCCAGGCGTTTCGCCTGGGCCTTCCCACAATTCGTGGTCCTGAAGCTTGGAGTCTACAGCAGCTTCGCGGATGCAGGGCTGGCCGCCTTCCAAGCAAAGCTTTCACTTGAGCCCTTCGCACGTTCGTTCTGCACGTTTGCAGCAGCTTCACGGATTGAGGGCGGGCCGCTGTCAATATCGAGCTCTCGCCCCAGCGTTTCATACTTATGCTTTAGAAGCTCGCACCAGCGTTGCCGATGGAGGGTGGCTCCTTTTCAGCACTGTGTTTCCGCCTCGGCGCTTCGCACATCCGTTTCGAACATCTGCGGCAGCTCTGAGGATGGAGGTGGGGGCGGTGTTGAAACTGTGCTCCTCGCCCTGGCGCCGCGCGCATCAGTTTCAAAAGTTTGCGACACTGCAAAATGCTGCCGTCGAGCGCCGCGCACGTTTGTTTTTAAAGCTCGCACCGGCCTCGCGGATGGAGGGTGGTTCCTTTTCAAAGTGTCGTTCTCGCCTTAGCGCCGCGAGCAGTCGTCTTGTGTTCTTGCAACAGTTTGGGGGATTGCGCACTGTTCGTTTTCAAAACGGGACTCGCCTCACCGCCGCGCGCATTTGTTTGTTTTTATGCCGCGTTTGGTAGTCTGGAGGTCAGCTCAACATTGCGTTATCGCCCGAGTCTCCGTTAATGTTGAAGACCCGGGATTTCAACGCACGTGTGGTTGCACGGATCCATGGCGGCATGTTTTCAGTGCATTTGTCGCTTGGTATTTCTTCGAAGTTCAGTAGTACCAAGTGTCGACGCATCAGTTACACGGAAGGGGAGTTGACTATCTTCGATAGGGGGATCTCGTTGGACATGTTATTGAGATGTTTCGCGCTCCTCATTGCGCACCAGAAGGATGCAAGACAATTCATGTTCAAAACGGAGCCTTCGCCAGAATGGCTAGCCCGACCGTGCTGCTATTTCAAGGAGGGCACTTCTTCTAGTGAAAAGGAGGAGACGTTGGGGCGTACGGGGAGGGGACTTGGGACGGCAGGGAATATTGCAGCATCGGTCATGCTTTTTTGGTGTGCTCTGATTATGTTCCTCCTCCGCCGCCTCCCGCGCCCTCCTCCTCGCCCTCCTTCTCCTCCTCCCCCTCCCCCTCCTCCTCCTCCTCCTCCTCCTCCTCCTCCTCCTCCTCCTCCTCCTCCCTCTCCTCCTCCTCCTCCTCCCGCCCACCGAAGCGCCTGGCCCGCCCCACCGACACGCTTGGGGGTTGCGACAGGGAGGCGTTCTCTACGAGGAGAAGGCATGGAGGAGGAGGAGGAGGAGGAGGAGGAGGAGGAGGAGGAGGAGGAGGAGGAGCCTCTGCCTCTTTCCCTCCCCTTCGTCCTCCCCTCTAGAACGTCGAGGAAAAGGAGGAGGAGAACGAATACGAGAACGAGGAGGAACATGAGGAAAAGGAGGAAAAGGGGGATGATCGAGGAGGAGGCGGAGGAGGAGGAGGATGAGAACCGGACCTGAGTGAGACTGGAGATGTAGAAGGGACCAGCCGAGCATGAAGAGCAGCAGCGCGGGGGAGCAGGGAGGAGGCGTGGGAGGAGGAGGCGGAGAAGGAGGAGGAGAAGCAGGAGGAGGATGAGGAGGAGGAGGAGGAGGAGGAGGAGGAGGAGGAGGAGGAGGAGGAGGAGGGGGGGGAGGAGGAGGAGGAGGACGACCGAGGAGGAGGAGGAGGACGACCGAGGAGGAGGAGGACGACCGAGGAGGAGGAGGAGGAGGAGGAGGCGGAGGCGGAGGCGGAGGAGGAGGAGGAGGAGGAGGAGGAGGAGGAGGAGGAGGAGGAGGAGGAGGAGGAGGAGGAGGAAGAGGCGGCCCCCCATGGTCCCAACGCCTCACGGGGGCGCTAGAAGGGAAGGAGGGGGAATGCGGCCCAGGGCGGGGGAGAAGAGAAGCGGCCTGGCGCGAGCCTAAGGGGCACCCCCCCCTGCGCGGAAAGGCCAGTTGTGCCCTCTTCTTTTCCTCCTCTTCCCGCCGTCCTCTCCTCCTCTCTTCCTCCTCACCGCGCTTCCCCCAGGTGAGCTTCGTCTGCATGTCTGTGCTTGGGGCGGCCCGTTCCCTCCCCTCTCACGCCTCCTTCCGTCCTGCGTCGGTCCGTGCGTTCGGGCCCCCTTCGTCCTCCTCTTTCGGTCCCCTCGTTGGGCCCCCGGCCCCGCCCGTCGGTGCGGTCATCGGCCCATTTTCGGAGGTGCCCCGCCAGGCGCGCCAGACGGCGCCGCCGGGTGGGGGCAATGGCGGCGTCGGTACGAAATGCCTGCCATCAGCCGTCAGCCGGCAAGAGGAGGAGCCTCCTCCTCCCCTCCTCCCCTTCCTCGTCTTCCCAATTCGAACGTCGAGGAGAAGAAGGAGGAGATGAGGAGGAAGAGGAGGAGGTGGAGGAGGGGTGGGGGGACCGAGATGGACGGAGGAGGAGGAGGCGGAGGAGGAGGAAGAGGAGGCGGAAGCGGAGGGGGAGAAGAAGAGGAGGAGGAGGAGGAGGACCGAGAGGAGGAGGGGAGGAGGAGGGAGGAGGAGAGGAGAGGAGGAGAGGAGGGAGGAGGAGGAGAGGAGGAGGAGCAGCAGGAGGAGGAGGAGGAGGGGACCCGAGGGGGAGGAACATCTTCTTCGCCCCCCTCCCCCCCCCGCATCGCCTCTCCCTTCGCCCATGCGCCATGGTCGGGGAGCAGCCGCGCGCCGCGCGGGCGGCGGACGCCCGCCCGCGCCCGCCTCGTCGTCGTCCTCAGCCTCGTCGGCGTCGTCGCGGTCGTCGTCGTCCTCCTCCTCCTCCTCGTACTCCTCGTCGTCTTCCCCGTCCTGCCTCCTCCCCCTCCCCCTCCCCCCTCCTCCTCCCCCTCCTCCTTCTCCCCCCCTACTTCTCCCCCCCCTCCTCCTCCCCCTCCTCCTCCCCCTCCTCCTCCTCCTCCTCCTCCTCCCCCTCCTCCTCCCCCTCCTCCTCCTCCTCCTCCTCCTCCTCCTCCTCCTCCTTTAGCCGCCGCGTGTTCGTCCTCGGACGCGCGCGCCCCGCCTCGTACCCTCGTGCCCTCCTCCTCCTTCCCCTCCGTTGGTTTCCCAATCATCCTGTGGTGTTGGGTCCTCGTTTTGAAGAGACAGCGCCCCGCCTCTCCTCTCTTCTCCTCCTCGCTCCCCTTCCTCTTCCGATCCTTGCCTATGCCCTCCGAACCAGCCAACCGTTTTGGTACACCCCTTTCACATTCGTGGCCCCATGGGGAGCCCCACCGAAGGCCCAAATGCCAGCGTTCGCATGTGGCAACCGCACCCATTTTGGCACACCCCTCACACGCTTCGTGGCTCCATAGGGAGCCCCACCGAAGGCTCCGATGCCAGTGTTCGCATGCGGCCACCGCGCGCACTCATTCTGGCACGCCCCTCACACGCTTGGTAGCCCCATCGGGAGACCCACCGAAGGTCCGAATGCCAGCGTTCGCATGCGACCTCCGCACCCATTTTGGCACATCCTTCACACGCTTCGTGGCTCCATAGGGAACCCCACCGAAGACCCAAATGCCAGCGTTCGCATTCAGCCACCGCACCTATTTTCGCACACCCCTGACACGTGGCCCCACAGGGAGCCCCACCGAAGGCCCACATGCCAGCTTTCGCATGCGGCTGCCGCACCCATTTTGGCACACCCCTCACACGTGTCGCGGCTCCATAGGGAGCCCCACCGAAGGCCCACCTGCCAGCGTTCGCATGCGGCTACCGCACCCATTTTGGCACACCCCTCACACGTGTCGTCCACCGAAGGCCCAAATGCCAGCGTTCGCATGCGGCAACCGCACCCATTTTGGCACACCCGTCACACGCTTCGTGACCCCCAAAAGCGCCCCACCAAAGGCCCAAATGCCAGCGTTCGCATGCGGCCACCTCGCCCAGTTGGGCAACCCCATCACACGCTTCGTGGTTCCATACGAAGCCCCACCGAAGGCCCAAATGCCAGCGTTCGCACGCGGCCACCGCACCCCTTTGGCACACCCCTCACACGTTTCGAGGCCCATAAGGAGCCCCACCGAAGGCCCAAGTGTCAGCGTTCGCGTGCGGCCACCGCGCCCAGTTTCACACTTCCTCGCACGTTTCGTGGAGGAGCCCCGCCGAAGGCCCAGCCCAAAAGCCAGCGTTCGCGTGCGGCCACCGCACCCGTTTTGGCACACGCCTCACACTTTTCGTGGTTCCACAGGGAGCCCCACCGAAGGCTCCGATGCCAGCGTTCGCATGCGGCCACCGCACTCATTCTGGCACACCCCTCACACGTTTGGTAGCCCCATCGGGAGCTCCTCCGAATGTGGTGCATACCACGACGGCATTCACAACTGCATACGGTTGGGTCCTTCGCCAGGCTAAATCCGTTTCCTCGTCTCGTCTTCAGTGCTCCTCCTCGCCCCTCCTCCTGCTCGATCCTCCTGGGTCCTCCTCCTCCTCCTCCTCCTCCTCCTCCTCCTCCTCCTCCTCCTCTTGCTCCATCTACTCTCGCCTCTTCTTCGGTTCTCCTTCTTTTCCGGGAGAGAAAAACAATCAAGCACAGCCCTTGTTTCATCATCATTCTTCCTTGTCCACCACCTCTGCTCTTGACGTTGCACGGGGGCTGATCATGTGATCATCGCAGCGTATGTCCTCCCTCCTCCTCCTCTTCCTCCTCCTCCTCCTCCGCCTTTCCTCCCGCCAACGCGCGCCAGGGGCAGGATGGGGGAAGGAGCGAGGAGTGGAAGGAGGGGGCGAGGAGGAGCAAGGAGGGAGGGAGGGAGGAGAAGGTCTCGACCCATCCGTCCTCCTCCCTCCTCCTTTCTTCTCCTCCCTCCTTCTCCTTCCTCCTCCTCGTTCTCCTCCTTCTTCTCCTTCCTTATCCCCATCCTCCTCCCTCCTCTTCCTCCTCTTACTCCCCCTCCTCCACCTCCCCTCTTTGAGAACCTCCCGCAGACCAGAGGGCCGTCGGAAGCTTTCTCCTGCGGATTTCCCAGAGGGCCTCTCGACGCCATGGTGTTTCTGCTCGCAGGCGTGGACCCCCTGCGGTCTGGACCCGTCCTACTCTCCTTCCTCCTCCTGGGCCCTTCCTCCTCCTCCTCCTCCTCCTCCTCCCTCCTCCTCCTCCTCCTCCTCCTCCTCCTCCTCCTCCCTTTCTCCTTCTTCACCCCCCTTCTCCTCCTTTCTCCTCCTCTCTCCTCCTTTCTCCTCCCTTCTCCTCCTCCCTTTCTCCTCCTCCCTTTCTCCTCCTTTCTCCTCTCCTCTTTCTCCCCTCCTTCCTCCCCCCCTCCTCCCCCCGTCCCCTCCACAGAAGCCGCCCCTGCAGCCCCAGAGGGCCTCCCGGAAGGCTCGAGGAGAAGCCCCGCCGCTCTTGAGGAGGCCCGCCCCCTCTTCGCTTCCCCGTCGTAGCGCCGCCGAGGTCTGGCTTTCGAGTCGCGTCAGCTCTGGCCTCCCGACGCCTGCTCGGGACGCTCCGGGCCCCCCCGGACGCGCCTCCGCGCCCCCGGAAGACGCTCCGAGGCTGGAAGCATTTGTTTATCAGTTTGAAACATATCCCTATCCCTATGTTTCACATCACCTCACCTCGATGCCGATCTCAAGGATTTCCTCAGTTTCTGAGGGCCTATCCCTAAGGCCTCGCTTTTTGCTCGCCCATCTTAGGGAGAGGGATACGTTCGATGCTGGTTATTTGTGGGCACCGGCGAGAACGTCCGAAGACTTCGGCACCCCGCTGAGCATCTGGGGAAACAGACAGGTACCGCTACTCTTATGTCGGGCGTGTCCCCCTACAGGGGGATTTTAGACGAAAAACGAAAGATACACCAAAAATACCCCAAACAGGTCAAGAACTATTCAAAAGATAGTCCCCAGACTATTTTTGGACTATTTGTTGACTATTTTTGGGGTGTTTTTTTGTCGAACATACTCCTGTAGGGGGACAGGCCCGACTTAGCGCTACTCCACAGGTGTGCGTTCTGACCAGGCTCTCGAGGATACTCCAGGCGTGGCGGCGAGAGCTCTCCAGGACGAGCAGCAGCATCTGCATCTTTTCCTCCCATGAACACCGCCGCCGTGCCGCCGCCGACAAGGGGGCACCCTGCGATCCGAGGTCTTGAGCTGGCCTCTCGAAGTACAAGGCAATATCGTAGACAAGCCTGGGCCCCTCTTTCTGCTGCATTTTTCGAGCCAGATCGATCCGTGGGCGTCGCCCGTGGTGAACGCGCCCGTAGTGAATCCGCCGCAGAGCAAAATCGCGACGATACATCGCGGCGCCAGGATCGCAGAGTCGGCCCCATACCCTGAGGTTTTCGGGCCTTGCTTCGGCTCTCTCGGCCCTTAGAGGGAAAGGGGAGGACGAGAAGGATAAGGAGAACGAGGGGGAGGAGGACGAGGAGGAGGACCGCCGAGGGACGCCCAAAAATGTTGGCCGGCTCCAGGTTTTCGGTCGCTTTCGTAGCCTCTCGGCGGCTTTCCGGCCGAGGGGTGCTCCCCAGCGGCTGCGCGCCGAAAGCACTCCCGGGGTAACCGGATCGTCCCGAACGGCCGCCCACGGAGCCGAAGGGCGGCTCGAAAGCCTCGGGGTGTGATGCCAACTCTGAGGCCCCTGGGCGTCGCGATGTCTTGTCACCGCGGGCGACGTTGCCCGGTGTCGAGCCCCGAGGCTCGCACAGATCGGCTCGGCTCGCAACATGTTGCAGAAAGCTGGGGTCTGGGGCTCTGCGCAGGGCCTGCGGGTGGCCTGGAGGTGGAAGGCGAAGAAGAGACGGAGGCAGGAGGTGAGGGAGGAGGGGGCACGGCTAGTGGGTGGTGGATGGGAGGAGAAGCAGGAGGAGGAGGCGGAGGAGAAGGAGGAGGAGTAGGAGGAGGAGGAGGAGGAGGCGAAGGAGGAGGCGGAGGAAAAGGAGGAGGAGGAGGAGCAGGATGAGTAGTAGTAGTAGTAGTAGTAGTAGTAGTAGTAGTAGTAGTCGTAGTCGTAGTCGTAGTCGTAGTCGTAGTCGTAGTCGTAGTCGTAGTCGTAGTCGTAGTCGTAGTCGTAGTCGTAGTCGTAGTCGTAGTCGTAGTCGTAGTCGTAGTCGTAGTCGTAGTCGTAGTCGTAGTCGTAGTCGTAGTCGTAGTCGTAGT